AGAGAGAGAGAGAGAGAGCGCGCAGGCCGGCTGGCCCCGCCTGGCTGGGAAGGGCAGCGTGAACCCCAGTGTCCGGGCAGCCTGCCCATACTCCCGGGTGCCTGCCGCCACTACCTCGCGGCTGAGCTAAGAACTGGGACCTCAATGTTTCCGGCGCCTGGAACGTGTCTGGAGCCCATGTGCAGCCAGCTAGCAGGACTGGGGGGCCACCACCCCTTCCTCCACCAGGAAATGCCTTGGCGCCCCACAGCTCTGTCAGGGGAGCCCCTCCACAGCCCAGGGCTCTCCACCGATCATGGGACAACTCCAAAGACCTTTATCCGCTCTATAGGGTCCTCCACTGCTGGTGGGACTTGTGCTGCAGATCCTCGTTAGTTGCCCAGCTGTAATGAGACCCATGGCCGGGGTTTGCTACACTCCCCAGCATCTCCTTAACCCCCACTTGGCGTCCGCTCTGTCCTCGGGGTTCTGGCAGAACCGTCTCTGAAGGCCTCTATTTTTGAGGGGGCACTTCTGCCTGTCTGTACACACCCTTGCAGCTCCTGGCACCAGCCTAGAGGACACTCTGAGGGTCTCTGCTTCCCTGTTGCTTGTGGGACTGGACTGAGCTCTGTGGCTTCTGTGTCCTGGGGTCTCTACCGTTCGTGGGTACCCCCCTTCCGAGGACAGTCATGCCACTCCAGAGGTCTCCGTCACCCACCCCCCCACTGCCTGGACTCTGGTGGACTGTCATGCCTGCCTGGGACCTCCTGTGGCTGCATCTGCACTGCCGTTGCCTATCACTTCCCAGGACCTTCTGTCATTTGCGGAACCAGCCCCTGCAGGGCCCTGATGCTTACGAGACCTGCTCCAAAACTCCCCACTTGTTAGAGTGCCTCGTGGGACTTTGGTCTGGCCCTTCGGGATGACTTACAGGATCTAGCTCCGATGGCTCTGAGAATCGTCGCTGTCTGGGGTCTCTGTAGCTTAGGGGAGCAGCTGGAAGGACCTTGCCCCAGCCCTTGAGGCCTCTGCAATCTGGAGCCCCCTGGACTCCATCCCGAGAACCCTTGTTAACCACCCAGGCTCTAACAAGACCAACCACAAGGACCACAGCTTGTGCCAAGTTTCAACCAGGGTTCTTGGTGAAGAACTGCCCTCCACTGCAATGAGGGTCTCTGCTTGTAGCACCTACTGCTGCTGCTTGTTTCCAGCCCAGCTTGGACAGGACTAGCTTTGGAAGGCTCCTTACCGTTTCCTGCAGCCCCTGGGGTCTCCTCCATCCTCTGGGGATCTCCATCGCTTGTGAGACTGGCTCATAGAACTTAACCTATGTGGGGTGCTTTTTCTGCCCCCGCCCCCTCTGGGGGTCCCTGATGCTCATGGGACATTCACCCAAGGACATTTGCCCCCGCTGAGGGGTGTCTTCTCTGTCCCTGGGACTGGCAGCAAGAACCTTCGCCCCTTCCCCAGGGGCCTGCGCTCTCCGCCCGACGCCCCCCCCCCCTCCCCCCGCGCACCCCGCCCCCCCCCCGCCACACGGACCCCCACGTGTCCCATCCCTCCCCCCTTGCTGGGGTGGGGGAAGAGGGAGGTGGGTCCCGGCTTTGCCCTCTCTCCTCCAGGACACTCTGGCTTCGCCCACGGCTAGGTTGTTCCTCCTCCACCACCACCACCACCACCACCTCCTCTCTTACCACCCCACCCCTGCACCATCGCGCCCCTCCCGCGGGAGGGCGCGTTCCGATTGGACCGGCCGTTGCCTAGATACGGTGCCCCTTGCGGTGCGATTGGCCGCAGCGAAGATCCCCCTCCCAGGTGTGAGATGGTACCTGGAGCCTCTGGCATCATATTTATTTTGGTTCTTTATTACTTTTTCTATTTTTTTCTTTTTCTATTTAGTTTTTCTTTTTTTAAAAAAAAGAAGAGGTTTTGGTTAATTTTTCTGCTGGTTTGGGGGTGCGGGGAGGACACTGGCTTGTGTTAACTCGAAAGCAGAGGGGCAGGGGTGTCTTGGCCTGCAAGAGGTTAAGAGGTGTCTGGCCTGGAGTATCAGGATCTGCTCAGCATTTCCAGGAATAGGCTCTGGGGTTTGGGGACCACGAGGAGGCAGACAGGGGGGCCAGGGCATTGGAAATCTATAGGTCAGAGACAGCACAGAGACATTTAGGGGGGCACCTGGGGAAAAGCAGTCAGGGCTAGGGGGCCGCCAGTGGCAGCCAGCTGTGTGCAAGGGCCTTGGGTCTCATGGGGGCTGGTACTTCAAGGGCAGTTGAGTGTAACAGGTGTAGCAAGGGTTTTGCCTGGGGATTAGGGTTTTGGGGTGGGGCTGTGTGCGGGACCAGGGTTTTTGGGGGGCTGTGTGGCAGGAGCTGCAACCGCTCCCCTCCTTGCATCCATGTGCTGCCCCTTCCATGGCCTGTTCTCTGCCCAGGCCTCCTGTTTTTTTTATTCCTGGACTGTCCTAGCTCTCTCCCCAACCCCTGTCCTGTGCCCCCCAGGCCCATGCGGGCTCCTCTTCCTTGCTGGGTGTGGAGGTGCAGCCTGGCGCGCCGTGCTGACTTTCCTCCCCCCATGTGGGGCTGTGTGTCTCTCTCTCTTTCTCTCTCTGTCTCTCCCGCCCTCGCTCCCTCTCTCCACAGAGCTCAGCCCAGCCCAAGGCCTTCAAGAGGAAGATCTCCGTCGTCTGTAAGTAACGGGGGTGCCTCCACAGCCCCGGAACCTTTCCAAGGCTCCCATTGAGCTGCCTGGGAGTGGGTGCAGCCCCCCAGGGTGGGTTCTGGATTCCTGTTTTCTGCTCTGGTTGGCTGGGAGGTGAAGTGGGAGGGGTGCCCCTGCTTAGTGGCAGGGGACTAGGTTCTCATTCCCATTTTTGATTGGCTCCCCAGGACAGGGTGGCTTTTGTCCTATACTCTGATTGGTTGTGGGGGTGGGGTAGGGGGAACCTGTTCTGGGCACTGATTGGCTGTTGGTGGGGGGGGTGGCCTGTGCTCTGTGCCCCGTTGGTTGTGAAGGATGAGTGCAGCCACTGAGGAGGTGGGGCCTCAGCTCCCCATCCCTCAGTCTGATTGGCTGTTGGGTTGCAGCGGCTGCCAAGGGGGCGGCATCAGGGAACAGCGACACAGAGGGCGGCCAGCCTGGGGGGCGCAAGCGGCGCTGGGGGGCCAGCACAGCCAGCACCCAGAAGAAGCCATCCATCAGCATCACCACCGAGTCGCTCAAGGTACAGCACAGCCTTGGACACGGGTCCACCAGGTTGGGGAGCTTTGGGGAAGGGTTGTCCCTGGGCTCTTTCGCTCTCCTAGACTCTGAGGCTTGGGAACATTCAAGGGCGTTATGCCCAGAAACCTGAGTTTTGTTGCATCTCCTTTCCTTGGAAACCTAGGTACTTTTCCCACTTCCCTGTCTCGGTGATGGGGAATTTGAGCGGGGGGCGGGTTCCCCAGACACCTGGTTCTTGTTCTCTTCTCCCCTGTCCAAAATTGGGTTCTATCCCATCTGTTCCTCAGACGCCTGGTTCCCTTTCCCAGTTCCCTGCCAAGGGGGTTCCCCAGGGGATCTTAAAGTTTTGGGGTGCTGTTCAGTGCTGACCCCTTCAAGGACACCTGGGTTCTTTCCCTCCCCATCTCAGAGCCTAATCCCCGAGATGAAGCCAGCTGCAGGGCAGGAGGCTGTGGTGGATCTGCATGCTGACGACTCCCACATTTCAGAGGATGAGGGCGACCGTCATGGGGAACCGGCCCCCCATGACAAGGGCCTCAAGATCTGCCGCACTGTCACGCAGGTACGGCAGCCCCTAGACCCAGAAGCTTGGGTCCCGCTATCCTCCAGGTCACTTCCTGTCTCAGATGTTGTGCTGGGATCCTAGACCAGTTTCCTGGAATCCAGGTCACGTTAGCATTTTCTCCCTGACACCTGGGTCCTCTCCTCTTCCTCCTCCATAGGTGGTGCCAGCTGAGGGGCAGGAGAATGGGCAGGGTGAGGAGGAAGAGGAAGAGAAGGAGCCAGAGGAAGAACAGGCTGAGGCCCCACAGGCTACAGTAGAGTCGGCACTGCCCCCACCTATTGAGCATGAGGTCAAAAAAGGTGAGTGGGGGGAGGGTGGATGATGGAGAGAGGGTCTCACTGGTCTGTTTGGGGCAGGGGGCTCCATCCACAGCTGTTTAACCCACCCCGACCTCCCATCCTCACAGTGACACTGACCGACACGCTGACCCGTCGCTCCATCAGCCAGCAGCGCCTGGGTGTCTCCATCACCATTGACGACCCTGTGCGCACAGCCCAGTTCCCCTCGCCGCCCCGCGCCAAGCCCAGCCACATTGTCCACATCTGTAACCTGGTGAGGCCCGTCCTAGGGGTGGGATCTCGGGATGTGGGGGCAGGGGGCACTTCACTGTTGCCTGGAGCAGAACATAAAGACCTACTATTGCTAACTGACAGCTTGTGAGGCAGAGCCACGTAGGATACCCCAAGGCTGGCATTTCCCAGTCCTTTTTACAAACCTGGGGTATGGCATGCTGAAAACTCAGTTGCGAGACTACAAAGGTATCCTACCTGGATCCAAGACCCTTTAACCTTAACTGTGTCCTGTGAGCGTCTGAGTACCATACCTCCTTGCCAAACATGCATCCCAGTGTTGGGGCGAGGAGAATCTTTCTGCTTTCCACACCAGAATGGAGGTGGGGTGTGGTGGGATGGTTGTCAGGGGGTCTTCTCCCTTCTGTCCACATGCAGGAGGACTGGAATTCACTTGTCAGCATCACTTATCCTCCTCTTGCTGTTCAGCCACAACCAGAAAAATCCAGGGTTTTTTTTCATTCTGTTTTCTCAACCCAAGGTGCAGGTCCTATTCAGGGGGCATGTGGTATACAGGGAAATACAGGAAAACCTCATTAATTTGAAACACGGGGGACCAAAAAACACTGACTTTGAAATAAAGGGGTTTGAGTTATCCAGTTACTGTGGGTATATAGACGCAGTTCACCCGTGTGCGGACCTTATGAGCAGATCAGAACAAAGTGGAGGAGTTATCCCAGTGGCTAATTAAGCAACTTTCACAATAGCACAAGGAATTCCTAATGTAGAATAGCAGCAATGATCTAGGGGCCCTTTTTTCTCTTGCTAGGTCTATCTAAGTGCCAAGCTGTCCTGTCAACCCCCACCTGCCAACCCTGACCCTGCCAAACTGTTTCCAAGGGTCTATGGTCCAAGGAACCAGATAATGGCTTCAAATTTCAAAGTAGCCATATTTCAAATGAACTGTATCATACATCATCCAACTTTATCCTTTTGGCTAGGGAGTAATGGTGGCTTTGAAGTATCCAGTACTTTGAATTACCTGATATCAAATTAACAAGGCCATCTTGTACAGCTGTAAAGTAGCATTTCTCAGCAGGGGTGCTGTGAGATCCTTTTAAGAGTACATGATATCAATGCTCTTAGGTATGCCGGCATCCATTTGTGATTTGCAAGACACAAACCTAGAGACTTCCAGTGGGACTCAAGAGTCTAAATGTTCTGTCCCGTTATGGTCTCTCATGAGTTTGCAGTAGAAGGATTGCTCTAGGACTTTTTCTGTTACCCCCAAAACTGAATGAAATCAAGCTGACATTTTCTGAGGGGGGCTCCCCAAATCTGACAAGGTTGAGACCCTCGGCCTCTGCCAGGTTTGTTGCCAAAGTCACATGGTCGTAACATCAGTGCAGTAATAACTTGGGTTGGTTTGTTGACTGAACCTGGAAGCCAACAAATGGAAGGTCACTGGGATCAACTGCAGCAAAATGATTCAGACACAACAAAGCAGGGGAAACCTCATACCAGATGTGTTGCTTTGGCCAGGTCTTTTGGGGTCAAATTGAGGCTAAACTCATAGTTCAGATTACAAATAGAGTAGAACTCCAGTCTAATTTCTTCAGCTCCAGCTTCTGACCCTGCCTCCATTTCCCCAGCTGCAAAATGGGGAGCAGAATCCTGCTCTCCTGTCGTCCCCCATTGGTAAATCAGAATGGTAAAAAACCAGGAGGGGAGGGAGAATGGAAAGTAGGGCTCGCATAGGACCCTGGGAAGGAGGGTATGGTGGAGCTGAGGGTGAACGAGGCAGGGGCTGGAGGTAACACAGCCAGGCAGGTCCAGGACCTTTTCAATTACAACCTGGTAGGAGGACATCTATTAAGGGAATGCCAGCCTGGTGAAATAAAAATGTCCCGGAGGCTCACTTTGATTTTTGATGAGGTTTTGTTGAGGTTAAGATGGAAATCATTTCGCTCAACTTGAGCCAAGCTGTGTTTTGGTTGTGATGTGCAGGCTTCTAGCCGGAATACTGAAGAGGCAGTTGCAGGGCAGTAGTCCGAATCGACATGTTTCCTTTGGGGTTTGATGAGATTTCTGCTCAGACCAATGGAAACGCATTATTTTGGGTTGATCCTGGTTTTGATTTTTGACTTTGAAAACTCTAGGTAATAAATAGCCAGGCAATAAGAAATCAGAGTTTTGCAGCTCATGTTTTGCGTTCTTTTAGAAGCATGTTGTTAAATAGAAACAAAGTGGTGATTAGGAGTTAAATGTATATGTTGAATTGTACCGTAATTGCACAAAGTTTAAAGTTTGACTTCTGTGGCTTTGTAATCTATGATGTTTCCCTTGCTTTATCATCCGTAACAGTAAACTGTTGTAGAAATCTTGTTCTTGAAAACCTTCAGTACAGATTCTCCTTCATTCTCCTGGAGTAACTGTTCCAGTGTTCTCTCAGTTCCAGCCTAAAACTTTTTCCACTGCAAATTAGGTTGATTTCTTCTCTTTCTGTCTTGTGACTATGCACAACAATTAATTGCCACCCTTGGTAATGACAGCCTCTTTTGTGTATCGGACAAATCAGGTTGTGTTCCCTTGTTTGGTCTTTTCTGGGCTAAACAAACCCAATTCTTTCCATTTCTCCTCATTGATCTTTTTTTTTTTTTCCATCTTCTCATTCTCTCGTGCATTCTCCCTGATTACTCTATGTTCTTCCTCAAGTACAGCATCTGGAGCTGGCCCTAACTGAGGCCTCACTAGTGCCAAGCAGAACAGAAATAATGACGTTTGTCACATGTCTTCCATGGGATGCCCCTACTAACAAGTGGCCCATACTGCACTGCTGACTCCTACCCACTCTGTGGTTTGTTAGGATCTTCCCGATCCTTTCAGAGCCACGTAGTGGTCTGGCTGTTAACTCCCCATGTTGTATAGGCGTGGGGGTGTTGTGCCTGGCTTCATTGGACACTGTTTCCAATACATTGGGCCCAGTGAGAATTCCAATTCTGCCTTTTAGAGCATTTGTGACGCTTTCCTTCTGGGTGCCACTTGCAGATCTCGTTAGGGAACCCTCCAGGGCTTCAACCTCTGGAAAAGGGCCAATGTGGTTCCCATTTTCAAAAAAAGGGAGGAAGGAGGACCCAGGAAACTATAGGCCAGTTAGTATTACCTCGATCCTGGGTAAGCTTTTTGAGAGAATTATCCTGGCGCATGTCCACGAGGGGCCGGCAGGGGAGGTTATGCTCAGGGGCAACCAGCATAGGTTCATTAGAGGCAGGTCCTGTCAGACCAACCTGGTGGCCTTCTACGACCAGGTTCCAAAATCCTTAGACACAGGGGTAGCAGTGGACGTAGTCTTTCTGGACTTCAGGAAGGCCTTCGACACTGTCTCTCCACCCCATTCTCATTAAAAGCTAGGGGACTGTGGCATCGACACTTACGCAGTCAAATGAGTCACTAACTGGCTGGAGGGCCGCACCCAGAGAGTGGTGGTGGATGGGTCATTTTTTGACCTGGAGGGATGTGGGCAGTGGGGTCCCCCAGGCCTTGGTCCTCGGGCCCGCGCTGTTCAACATCTTCATCAGTGACTTGGATGAGGGGATAAAAAGCACCCTGTTCAAATTTGCTGATGACACTAAGATGTAGGGGGATGTGGCCACGCTAGAAGGGAGGAATAGGCTGCAATCAGACGTAGACAGGTTACAGAGGTGGGCGGATGAGAACAGGATGGGGTTCAACACTGACAAGTGCAAGGTGCTGCACCTGGGGAGGAAGAACCAGCAGCACACCTACAGGTTGGGGAACTCCCTTATTGTCAGTGCAGAGGCAGAAAAGGATCTTGGAATCATTATTGATGTCAAAATGAACGTGGGTCGGCAGTGTGGGTACATGGTCAGGAAGGCCCAACCACACCTTGTCATGCATCCACAGATGCATCTTGAGTAGGTCCAAGGAGGTGATCCTCCCCCTCTGTGCGGCACTGGTCAGGCCACAGCTGGAGTACCGTGTCCAGTTCTTGGCATCGCACTTCAGGAGGAATGTGGACAGCATTGAGAGGGTCCAGAGGAGGGCCACCCGCATGAACGGGGGCAGCAGGGCAGGCCCTACGAGGAAAGGCTAAGGGACCTGAACCTGTTCAGCCTCCACAAGAGAAGGCTGACGGGGGATGGATCTAGTGGCGTGTTACAAACTAGTCAGGGGGGACCAGCAGGCATTGGGGGAGTCCCTGTTCCCCCGAGCACTCCCAGGAGTGACTAGAAATAACGGTCACAAGCTGGCAGAGGGTAGATTCAGACTAGACATCAGGAGGCGCTACTTCACTGTCAGGGCGGCTAGGATCTGGAACCAACTTCCAAGCAAAGTGGTGCTGCCTCCTACCCTGGGGGTCTTTAAGAGGAGGTTAGATGAACACCTTGCCAGGGTCGTTTGACTTAATGGACTTGATGATCTGCTCAGGTCCCTTCTGACCCTGCCAACTATCTGAGAGTATATTGACCAGCACTGGGTTCTAGATATGTCATCTCCTGGGGCCTCTGTGTGACCTGTTGTCCTGCTTTGAGAACAAACTGATCTCCAAGAGTGGTGTTGGGCACCTGTGTTAACAGTGGATTTGTCTAGGCTGTATTTCTCATGAGCATCATAGGAGACGATCCATTGCCTCGAGATCCTTCCCTTATTCCCTTCCTGAGGCCTCATGAGAGAGAGAAACTAGAATGTCTCAGCAGGCCTGGCTCCCAACAGATTCCTGTTGGCTGGCATTTATCACCTCGTTATCCCTTCAGAAAATATTAGTCAATTGGCTAATAATTTGTACGTGAAGGATAGTGGGACAGAAGCATGTTAACATGGGTATATAGCAAATATGGCAGGCGACCAGCTTGGCTTAGCATGGGACTCTTCAGTGAGCTTAAACACAAAAAGAAAGCTTACAAGAAGTGGAAGCTTGGACAGATGACTAGGGAGGAATATAAGAGTATTGTTTGGGCATGAAGGGATAAAATCAGGAAGGCCAAAGTACAATTGGAGTTGCAGCTAGCAGGGGACGTGAAGGGTAACGGGAAGGGTTTCCGCAAGTATGTTGGTAGCAAGAGGAGGAATGGGGAGGCATTGTAGCGACTGAGGATGCAGATGAGGCTGAAGTCCTCAATGCCTTTTTAACCTCAGTCTTCATAGGCAAGGTCAGCTTCCAGACTACTGCACCGGGCAGCACAGTTTGGGGAGGAGATGAGCAGTCGTCAGTGCTGAAAGAACAGGTTGGGGGCTATTTAGAAAAGCTGGATATATACAGGTCCATGGTGCCGGATGGGATGTATCCAAGGGTGCTGACGGAGTTAGCTGATGTGATTGCAGAGCCTCTGGCCATCATCTTTGAAAACTTGCGACTAGAGGAGGTCCTAGATGATAGGAAAAGGACAAATATAGTGCCCATCTTTAAGAAAGGGAAGGAGGGGGATCCAGGGAACTACAGACCAGTCAGCCTCACCTCAGTCCCCAGAAAAATCATGGAACAGATTCTCAAGACATCCATTTCTTATCACATGAGGTTTATCACAGATAAGTGCAAAGTCCTGCAGTTAGGACAGAACAATCCCATGCACCATTACAGGCTGGGGACTGACTGGCTGGGCAGCAGCTCTGCAAAAAAGGACCTTGGGGGTTACAGTGGATGATAAGCTGAATATGAGCCAACAGTGTGCCCTTATTGCTAAGAAGGCTAATGGCATCTTGGGCTGCATTAGTAGGAGCATTGCCAGCAGATCGAAGAAAGCAATTTTTTTCCTCCTCTTCTGCACTGGTGAGGACACCTTTGCCAAACTGTGTCCAGTTTTGGGTCCCCACTGTAAAAAGGATGTGAACAAGTTGGAGTGAGTCCAGCGGAGAGCAAGGAAAATGGTTTGGGGGCTGAGGAACATGACTTCTGCAGACTAAATAAATCGAGTTCCCTCAGCCTCTTCTCAGAAGAGAAGACTGAGGTGGGATTTAATAGCAGTCTTCAACTACCTCTGAAGTGGGGTTCGAAAGAGGATTGAGCTGGACTGTTCTCCGTGGTGGCAGATGACAGAACAAGGAGCAACGGGCTCCAGTTGCAGCAACAGAATTTTATTTTGGCTATTAGGAAAAACTCTCTCTCTAGGACGGTGGTGAAGCACTGGAACAGGTTATTCAGAGAGATTGAGAGGCCCAGCTAAACAAAGCCTTGGCTGGAATGATGTAGTTGGGGCTGGTCCTGCTTTGAGCGGGAGGTTAGACTAGATGTGACCTCCTGAGGTCCCTCCCAACCCTCATTTTCTATACTTTTGTGAACTGCACAGTAAAACATCAGGGTGATTTGATTGTCCTGAAATCACTCATCTCCTGGAAACACCTCCACAGATTTTTTCTTTTTCTTGGCCTAAGTTTGGCAGCCAAAGTGAATTTTCAGCACTGAGGTGGGACATTCCTGGTTCACTTATTGTATACCCAGGGAAGGCCTGTCTGCCTGTCCAGATGAGGCTCATGATATGGAGAAGCTTCTCCTGACACTGCAGTGGTTTAGGACAGGTTGTCCATTCTGGAGACCAGTTTAGGGATCATCTTGTTGGCCTTCTCCCCCATGCCGTAGGCTGGTGGGTTTTGCCTTGTTCTCCCCCAGCTGAGCCCAGAAAAATTGTGACGAGCTTGATGAAGAGGCTGGGTGGGGGGGTGTCGGGTCTAGAACTGCCCTGGCGCTGACCCCAGGGGGTAGGAGGAGGAGATCAAAGGCTGATGATCTCAGTCAGCTATTGCATGAACTAGGCCCCTGCCCAGGGCCTGTGAGCAGTCTTACCTTCACAATGCTGGCATCTCAGCATGGGGTTTCCTGTCACCCCTGTGACCTCCCGGCCCACTTCCTCCCCTCAGGTGCGTCCCTTCACCCTGGGCCAGCTGAAAGAGCTCCTCAGCCGGACGGGGACACTGGTAGAAGAAGGGTTCTGGATTGACAAGATCAAGTCGCACTGCTACGTCACGGTGAGTCTCTGCCCCCCGTGGCTGCCTCTCCTTGCCACATGCTGTTCGTCTGTCCATCTTACGGTGTCAATGCATCTCTTCCCACAGTACTCCACCCTGGAGGAGGCTGTGTTGACCCGCAACTCCCTCCATGGGGTGAAGTGGCCACAGTCCAACCCCAAATTCCTCTCTGCTGACTTTGCCGAACAGGATGAGGTGAGAGCACCCAAGGGACAGTGGGGGAGCCTGCAGGCAGTGGGGCCTGGGGAACAGGATTTTTGGGGGTTGGCACAGAAGGCACTATGCCAGGGGGAGGATGCAGGCAACTGATCCATTTCTTCCCCACCCCCAGCTGGACTTCCACCGGGGGCTGCTGGCAGAGCGGCCAGCAGAAGCCAAAGCAGAGGAGGCCGGGATGCCAGGGGCAGGGCCCCCCCGGGGCACGCGGGAGCCCCCCGGGACAGGCACGAGCACAGCTTCAGCACGGCGCTCAGCCCCACAGGAGCCAGAGCGGGCAGTGCGAGAGCAGTGGGCAGAGCGGGAGCGAGAGATGGAGCGGCGGGAGCGCACGCGGGCCGAGCGCGAATGGGACCGCGACAAGGTGCGTGAGGGGCCACGCTCCCGGTCCCGGTCCCGCGAGCACCGTCGCAAGGAGCGCCCAAAGTCCAAGGAGAAGAAGGGCGAGAAGAAAGGTACTGGGGGAGGTAGGGCCTGGGAGCAGTAGCTGGGGTCTTGAGTGGGGGCAGGGCCTGGGTTAAGGAGGTGTGGGATCTGTAAGATGGCATGGGAGTTGGGGCAGAGACACCCCCGAGGAGGGATCCACCTCACTCTCCACTGATTGTCCCCCACCCCGCTCCTTACAGAGAAGCCCCCTGAGGAGCCTCCTGCCAAGCTGCTGGACGACCTCTTCCGCAAGACCAAGGCAGCTCCCTGTATCTACTGGCTGCCCCTGACAGACACCCAGGTGATCCCTGGTCCTGCTTCAGTTTGTCGGGGGGAAAAGGAGGCAGTTCTAGGTCTTTGCCCACAGCTTGTCCCAGAGCAGGGGGCCTGACCAGGGGTTTTGAGGGGTGGGAAGGGGTGTCTCTAAGGGGTGTGTGGCTGGTTCCCTGGGCCCCCAGCACATCCCACCCTTCCCTAGCTTGGGTGGTGAATGGACTAGGGGGTTCAGGTCTGGCTTCGGGGCTCTGCCTGGGTGTGGGCCAGCCCTTGGCCTCACCTCTCTGTGCACCACCCCAGTTCATGCAGGGGTGAGTGAGGGATCCTGGTCTGGGGCCAGATCTCAGTGTGATCTCAGCTTTGCTGGGGCCTGACAAGTTTCCAAAGCTGTGGAGCTGGGTGGAAGGTCGCAGCTGGGGGTTATGGGGCACCCCATGGGTCTGTGCCTCTCTGACAGATGTCCCTTTTTCCTTCTGCAGTTTGTGCAGAAGCAGGCAGAGCGGGCGGCACGGGCACGTGAACGGGAGCGACGCCGCAAGGAGCAGGAGGAGGAGGAGCAGCGGCAGCGAGAGCGCAGCCGCCAGGCTGAGCGGGAGAGGGAGCGAGAGCGCGAGAAGCGGCGAGAGCACAGCCGGGAGCGGGGAGCTGGCGGGGAGCGAAGTGCCCCGAGCCCGGCGGACCCCCAAGCGGCACAGTCCCAGCGGTAGCCGCAGCACCCCGGTGCGGGACCGTGGGGGGCGCCGCTGAGACCTCCCCAAACGCCCATCCCCGTGCCTAGCCCCAGGGAGGGGAGCTGGGAGGGGGTGGCCCTAGCCCCCTCACTCAGTTGCGGGCTGCTGGGTGTGGCTGGCCCTGTGCCTGCCCCTACCCCCAGATCTTGCCCCAGGACAGGCCCCATCTTGGGGCATTCCCTCCTCCCCCCCATTTGCCTCTCCCCCATCTGGGGGGCAGCCATGGGCTCCCCTCCACCTTAATTTGTATTTTATTTTGGGAAAAGACAAATGTTTTTGTTTTTTGGGGGGTTTATTTTGTTGGGTTTTTTTATTTTTATTCTGCTGTCGCTGGAAATGAGATAAATAAAGAGTTGGCGTTAGTTTCATACGTGGGGGGTACGGGTGTTTTTTTGCAGGGGGGCCGGGCATGCCATCTCAAGCCTCAGCATGAAGGCAGTGAGGATGTGGGCAGACCCAGACACCCTGAAAATGGATAAAAATTTGGGGATGAAACCCCCTAAAAAAAAAAAAAAAAAAAAATCCTTCCCAGAAGCAGGGATTTCCAGAAGGGCCATCATTGTCTTTTTGCCTCCAGCTTCTGCTTTAAAAAAAAAAATGATTTTAAGTGGCTTTTTTCTGCCCCGTCCCCTTCCTTAAAATTTATGATCAGTTGAAGGGGATTTTTTTCTCTCCTGTACTGGTGGACATTTGAGGTTGGAGATGAGAGAGAACTCCTGTGCAGAAATGGGCTACACCGACCTGGGATATCTGTCTTGCACCTTTTTAGACTAGATTTGCCTAGTGATACCTCGCACCCCCCGAAACTGCCAGCTTGAGGCCCGTCTGCCTCCTACACGTATGTGGCATTTATGAATTAATCATGGCACATTTGCAGCACCCTTGTCATTTATGCCCAAAGTGAAGGGGCATAAAATGACAAACTAGTCATAAAAACGTTTCACCTGTGATGTAGAAAAATTCTTTGGCTAGTTTTTATAGTGCCTTAAATTGAACTTCAGAAATTGCCCTGGGGCCAGGGCTAACAATTAGCTGATTTCCCAAATCGCTGGAGGCGTTATGGTTGGGATCCAGGCTTGGATCCCATGGTGCCCTTAAATGAAAGTGTGCCTGTGGCCTTGGATTTCTTTTGTGCTCGACTACGGAAAAGCAATTTAACTCGGAGTGGCTGCAGCCTGGACAATTTGGGATTTGACATCTCTGGGTTGATCTCATGAATCACATGTAGGTGTTTGCATCTCTGGGCAGGTGGTTGAGAATCGCTGGGTTACACGGCCCCTTGGCAAGGCTGACTCAGTCCATGACAAGAGGTTGGACTGTATGTGATCTCCAGGGGTCCCTTCCTGCCCTGCCTTTCGATGATCTCCCATGGATGGAAATTGGGAGTTACTTTTTCCTGTAACAGAATTTGCACTCATTTTTAACTAATTTTGAATGCTGTGGGGGGAAGGGAGGGTTGCTGGAAGCAAGAGGAAATTGTGGAAGTTCTCTCCATTCCCCCCTCCCAAGGTTTCTGTTTTTCCTGAAGATTTTTTTTTTAAATAGTTTAAAGAAAGAAAATGCAAATTCGCTCCCCCACCCCTCTTAAATCTAAACGGTTGGAAGTGGTTGATGGGGCCCTTGTTTTGTTCTCTAATTGTTTTTAGAGCTTAAATTGGTTGAACAGGCCACACAGTGGGGGGAAATAGTTCATTTTCCTCCATGTTTCACCTGTTTTGGTGAGGGCTGGAGTCAATAAATGAGGCAAGGAGAGAATTGTAATTCTCATTTCTGTTGGAGAAGTGGGAAAAACCTTTTACCTCCCTCTTCTGGAATTTTCCCTCCTTTCTCTGGGTTAAAGAATATTTAAATCCTTCGTAAGGTCACGTTACACTTCTCTTTTTTTATTTTTAACCATTTTTTTCAATGTTTTAGTCTAAAGATGATGTGCCATGGGCTGGGGTGCTCTGAGGTGCCTGTGTGTGCTCACCTATGTGGGCAATATAGGTGTACCAGCGAGCCCGCTTGCTCTGGTGCTGATCCTCTTCCCCATGTGAGGGGACGTGGGAGGCTGGGGGGAGGTGAAGGATCTGCTTTGTCCATCCATTTTCTCTGGAGCCAGCAGCATGTGTCCATGAGGAAGCAAAGCAACCACAGTGGAGCCAGGTTGTCAATGAGGTGCAGCCTGGTATGTGGCATGGGACCTGGGGAGGATATGGATGCGGGTGTTGCGATACGTTTGCACCAGATGAGAGCTCTGGAGCCCAGGGCTTGGCCCCGTGTCCAGGCATCGGGAAGCAGGCTCTTTGAGGGGTGTGGTTATGGGGGCACTAAGTGGACCCTGGGTAGCTGAGGCCTACGTTGGTTACAAGTTGGCAAGAGCCCTTCGTGGCACTGCCGTGAGCTGCCAAGACAGTGAGCCCTGCGCCCCTCGCCTGCAGGCCATTTGGAGTGGAGAGGGCAAGGGCACCTGACACGGGACAACGTGTCTAGCTGTGGGGAGGGGAGCAGGGGGCATCCACCGTGTCCCCTCTGCCTTGCCCACGTCCCTGTGAGAGGGACCATGATGGCACAGGTGGTGCTGGGCCAATGGCACCACTGGATGTTGTCTGGGGCTGAAATGCTTGACACGGAGCCGGTCAAATCAAAAAGTCCTCTCCAAAAAAACCCTCAAAGACCACTTCGCTGTTTTTTCTCCTAATTTTCTTATACATGCACACATGCAAGCACCCCCTTTCCCCCCCCCCCCCCCCCCCCCCCCATCTTGGGCAGCTACAACCCAATTTCAGAGGAAAGGTCATGTTTTCTAATTTGCTCTTTGCTCGGTCCTGACACTTTAAGAGCTTTTTGGTAGGTTCAAAAAACAAAACATAAGAGAAAAAACCCCAAACCCCTCAAGTTAGTGTCAGTTTTCCTCAATTGCCAACCACCTAGGGTTTATTTTTTTTTCCACCTTGGGTGGGGGGGCGGGGGTGTTGAAAGGGAGGAGTTGTCACCTTCTGGGCACTTCTGCAGGGGAAAATTTAGGAGGAAACTGAAAAAAAGTGTGTGTGTGTGTATAAGCACCAAGTCATAATGTGCATTATGTTATTAAAAAACAATCATAATGCCCTCCCCACCCGCTGCCCCCCAGCTCTGCTGGTACCCCTCAATCCCAGCCATGGTTCACGGTGGCTGTGAATCCACATGTTGTGTTCCTTTCCCCCTAAGGAGCCACCAGGAAGGGGATGACTCTTCTCCTTTTCATTGATTTTTTTTTTCCCCTTTCCCCCCTTAAGCGGGGAAAAAAGAATCCCTCAAACCTGTAAGTGATGTAGATGAAAACCTCATTTCCCTCATCTGAGGATTAGAAAAACCCTTAAAAATGTCAGTAACAGGCAAAGGATGAACTGAAAATATAACATTTCCTTAGGATTTTGAGTGGAGCTTCCCAAAAGAGGGGAAATCTGGACAAGATTGGTGGGGGTGGGGGCAATTGTCCCATTTTTTTCCTCCCCCCACAACCGTAATGAAACCTGACACAAGTGTCTTGGTCCCCCCGCCCCGGGGAACCAGGCTTTATTCCTCTCTGGGGCAGAAGGATTTGAAATCCTAATGAGGCAAAATATGAATATGAATTAGATGCAAATGTGAGGTTTAAATAAGGGACTGGGCAGGTCTGTCAGGCCTGCAGTGCTGCCTGGGGTGGGGGGGATGATGGGGTGTCATTTGGGGGCATTTTTTTTCCCTCCCATTAGGTCTAATTTTAATGAACAAATCTAATTAAGCTAAATGAGCAGGTTGGGGGGGGGGAAATGTCCCCTCTTTTGTGTGCTTTGGGGGATCGTGGGAGGAGGGGTCTGGCCCCTGCATGGGTCCCTGGCGGGTGTTGGGGTAAGTGTGAGGGTGCTCAGAAAAGGAAGGGGCAGGGCCTGATCTTGGGGG